CTCCTCCTCCTCCTCCTCCACCTCCTCCTCCTCCTCCTCCCCTCCTCTCCTCCTCCTCCACCACCACTCCTCCTCCTTACACACCTCCTCTCCTCCTCCACACCACCTCCTCCTCCTCTTCCTCCTCCTCCTCCCCCTCTCCACCTCCTCCTCCTCCTCCTCCACCTCCTCCTCCTCCTCCTCCTCCCTCCTCCCTCCTCCTCCTCCTCCTCTCCTCCTCCTCCTCCTCCTCCTCCTCCTCCTCCTCCTCCTCCTCCTCCTCCTCCTCTCCTCCTCCTCGGGTTTCTTCAGCTCCTCCTTCGCCTTCCTGGAGGATCGAGACCTTCTCCTGCAGACGTTGCGGACCTCGAGCACTGGCGGAGGAGACAGTCCCTGGCTTTCTGCCGCCGTCGAAGAGAGAAAGAAATCTTGAGTCTTTTTTCTTTTTCTTCTTCTTTTCTTTGTCTTTTTTTCGTTTTTTTTTTTTCTTTTTTTTTCTTTCTCTCTCTCCTTATTTGTCTTTTTTTTGTTTGCTTTTTCTTCTTCTTTTGTTCTTTTGTCCTCCTCCTCCTCCTCCTCCCCCTCTCCTCCCTCCCTCCCCTCCTCCTCCTCGGGTTTCTTCAGCTCCTCCTTCGCCTTCCTGGAGGACTCGAGGACCTTCTCCTGCAGACGTTGCGGACTCGAGCGCTGGCGGAGGAGACAGTCCTGGCTTCTTTGCTGCCGTCGAAGAAAGAAAGAAATCTTGAGTCTTTTTTTCGTTTTTTTTCTTTTTTCCTTTCTCTCTCTCCTTATTTGTCTTTTTGTTTGCTTTTTCTTTTTCTTTTGTTCTTTTGTCCTCCTCCTCCTCCTCTCCTCCTCCTCCTCCTCCTCCTCCTCCTCCCACCTCCTTCCTCCTCCTCCTCCTCCTCCTCCCTCCTCCTCCCTCCTCCTCCTCCTCTCCTCCTCCTCCTCCTCTCCTCCTCCTCCTCCTCCTCCTCCTTCTCCTCCTCCTCGGGTTTCTTCAGCTCCTCCTTCGCCTTCCTGGAGGACTCGAGGACCTTCTCCTGCAGACGTTGCGGACTCGAGCACTGGCGGAGGAGACAGTCCTGGCTTCTCTGCCGCCGTCGAAGAGAGAAAGAAATCTTGAGTCTTTTTTCTTTTCTTCTTCTTCTTCTTTGTCTTTTTTTTTTTGTTTTTGTTTTTTTTTTTTTTTCTTTCCTCTCTCCTTATTTGTTTTTTTTGTTTGCTTTTTCTTTTTCTTTTGTTCTTTCTCTACTTGTTATTCGTTTTCTTCTTTTTGTGTTTCTTCTTTTTTTCTTTTTGTTTACTTCTCATCATCATCCTTCGCTTGCTCCCTTCAAATTTTCTAACTTCTGATTGTTATTTTACAGTTCTGTCTTTACTTCTTCGTCTTCCTCCCTCTCTCCTTCCTTCCCTCCCTCCCCTCCCTCTCTTCCCCTCCCCTCCTCTCCTCCTTCCCCTCCCCTCCTCTCCTCTCCCCTCCCCTCCCTCTCTCCTCCTCTTCCCTTTCCCTACCTTTCCCCTCCCTTCCTTACCCCTCCCTCCCTCTCTCCCCTCCCTCCTCCCTTTCCCCTCCTCCTTCCCCTTCCCCTCCCTTCCACTCCTCTCCCCTCTCCCCTCCCCTTCCCCTCCCTCTCTCCCTCCCTTTCCCCTCCCTCCCTCTCCCTCCCCTTCCCCTCCTCTCCTCCCTCCCTCTCTCTCCTCTCCCTCCCCTTCCCCTTCCCTCCCCCCTTTCCCCTCCCTCCCTTCCTCTCCCCTCCCCACCCTTCTCCCCTCCCCTCCCCTCCCTTCCCTCTCCCCTCCCCCCCTCTCCCTCCCCTCCCTCCCTCCCTCCCTCCCCTCCCTCCCTCCCTCTCCCCTTCCCCTTCCCCTCCCCTCCCTCTCCCCTCCCCTCCCTCTCCCCTCCCCCCTCCCCCTCCCCTCCCCCCTCCCCCCCTCCCCTTCCCCCTCTCCCTCTTCCCTTCCCTCCCCATCTTCTCGCCCCCAATCCCTCTCCCTTCCCTTCCCCTCCCTCCCTCTCCTCTCCCCTCCCTCCCTTCTTTCTCGCCCCCAATCCGGGAGGGGGAAGCTCCGTGCAGTAAACTCCGTACCAGTGTGTTATGCCCGGACTTGTTGGAGGAAGTTGGGCACTCGCCATCAGCCATCATCAACTTTTGTAACGTATCTTCTGCGGGTGGAGGGAAGAGGGGGAGAAGGGAGAGAGAGAGAGGGGGAGGAGAGGAGAGAGGGAAGTGGGAGGGAGAGGGAAGTGGGGAGACAGGGGGGGAAGGGGGGAGAAGGGAGAGAAGAAGAGAAAGAGAGGAGAGGAGAGAGGGAAGTGGGAGAGAGAGAGAAAGAGAGGAGAGGAGAGAGGGAAGTGGGAGAGAGAGGGAAGTGGAAGAGAGGGGGGGGAAGGGGGGGAATGGAGGGAAGAGGAGAGAGAGGGTAGGAAAGAGGGAAATGGAGAGAGAGGGAAGGAAGGAGGGAAATGGAGAGAGAGTGAAGGAAGGAGGGAAAATGGAGAGAGAGAGAAGGAAGGATTTCTTTTTCGATTTTCCATGTGAACAAAAAAAAAAAAAAACAATTAGAAAAGAATCCCACCCTAATCAGAATATAATAACAACAACAATTACACAAAAACCCACAACACTAATAAAAAAAAACTTTTTATTGACGTCAGCGAACGTAAAATGGACATCATCTGAGCCGAGTTCTAAAACAAGGACGGGGGGGGGGGGGGAAGAGGGGAATTTTAGGCACCAGAATGAACCATAAAAGGGTTTAGGATCTTCCTTTAGGAGCTTACTCTCAAGTTGTAAGTAGGGGAGGGGTGGGGGAAGGATGGTGGGGGTGGGGTGGTGGGGTGGGGGGAAGGATGGGGGATTGAGGGGGTTGGGGGAAGGATGGGGTTGGGAGGGGTGGGGGTTGGGGGATGGGTGGGGGAGGGGAAGGATGGGGGTTGAGGGGGAAGGGGGAAAAGGATGGGGGTTGGGGGAGGAAGGTGGGGGTGGGGGGAAGGAATGGGGGTGGAGGGGAAAGGATGGGGGGGTTAGGGGAAGGATAGGGTTGGGGGGAAGGATGGAGGGTAAGGGGAATGGGGGGTGGGGGAAAGGATGGGGGTGGAGGGGTATGTTGGGGGTTAGAGGGAAGGGGGAAAAGGATGGGGGGTGAGGGGAAAGAATGGGGGGTTAGGAGGAAGGATGGGGGTTGAGGGAGGTAGGGGAAAGGATGGGGCGGAAGGGGGAAAGGATGAGGGGGAAGGTGGGAAAGAATGGGGGGGAGTAGGGGAGGGGAAGGATGGGGGAGGGTTGTGGGGATGGTTAGGGGGGAGGATAAGGGGTTGAGGGGAAAAGATGCGAGGGTTGTGTAGAAAGGATGGGTTGGAAGAGGGGAAGAAAGGGTGGGAGGGGGGGAGGCTGGCGGGGGGGGGGGTGAGGGGGGGATGATAGATGTGATGGGTTGTTTACTTGTTTACTTGTTTGTCTGTTTGTCTTTTTTTTGTCTTTGTTTCTTGTCTTTGGTTTTTGTTTTTGTTGTTTTGTTGTTTGTTTTTTTGCTATTATTTGGTTTTACTTGCATTTTTTTTTTTTCTTGCAAAATTGATATGCAATTAAACCCACCTAGAAGAGTTTTTATAGAAATTAGATACCTAAACACGCTATTATGAAAATAAAACACATATATAACAGATATATCAGAAATAAATCAATACAAACAAATAATTCTATATAAATTCTTTATAAATTCATAAATTCTATATATCATTATCCTTGACATTAATGAAGGTCTCAGCGTCCGTATAAACTTTAATTTCAAGAAAGCGATTTGAAGGAAAAATGATTAATTGAAATGAAATGGAAGGTTATGCAAATTAGGGTGAATATTGAGTGAAGAGACGAATGAATGAATAGATAACATAATGAATAAACGGAGGAAGAGTGAATGTAATAGATAAACGCAAAATCGAGAGGGGATAAAAAGTGATATCAAGAAAATGATAAAATGGCGAATGGATAAGTAAAAAAATAAATAAAATAGAATAAAATAGATATATTGACGAATAGATAAGTGAAAAAAATGAATCTAAAAAAAATCATCACATGAATAACGCATTAACTGAAGAATAAAAATGAAAATAAGAAATAAATGAGATAAAACACAATACGCACCCATACCGTGACGAAAGAGAGGGTGAAGCAATAATTAAAAAAAGGAGAAAGGGGTGTGAAGAACAAACCACGAGAAAAAAAAGGGAAAAGGGAGGGAGAGAGGAGGGAAGAAGGGGGGGGGGCGATTGACCAAAAAGGGTGACGTTTTATAAAGGTGCTGCTATATAAGGGTGGTCGCTATATAAGGGTGGTCGCTATATAAGGGTGGTCGCCATATAAGGGCGGTCGCTATATAAGGGTGGTCGCTATATAAGGGTGGTCGGGTGGTCGCTATATAATCTATATAAGTGTGGTCGCTATAATAAGGGTGGTCGCTAATATAAGGGTGGTCGCATATAAGGGTGGTCGCTATATAAAGGTGATCGCTAAGGGTGGTCGCTATAATACATAAGGGTGGTCGAGGGTGGTCGCTAACTATATAAGGGTGGTCGCTATATAAGGGTGGTCGCTATATAAGGGTGGTCGCTACAGAAGGGCGGTCGCTATATAAGTGTGGTCGCTTAGTGTGAGATCGGATAAGCGGAAACCAGATAGGACGAGACCGCTTAGGGTGAGACCGGTCAGGGTGAAGCCAAACAGGGAGAGGCGAGGAAGTGTGAGATCGCTAAGGGTGAATTTGGAAAAAAGGGAGATCTCTTAGGGTGACACCACACAGGCAGAAGGAGCGCGGAACAGGGTGATAGCGCTAAGGGTGAAACTCCTAAGGGTGATACGCTAAGGGTGAAATCTAAGGGTGAAATAGCTAAGGGTGATAGCGCTAAGGGTGAAACTCCTAAGGGTGATAGCGCTAAGGGTGAAACTCCTAAGGGTGATAGCGCTAAGGGTGAAACTCCTAAGGGTGATAGCGCTAAGGGTGATAGCGCTAAGGGTGAA